TACGCCAAGAAGATTCCCGTGCAATTTGAGTAGATTCCCAAATGCTCGGAGGCCCTGCCTTTAGGGTGTGAAATCTGGTTGTGAGGCAAGACAGCACAGGCGCCCTACCCTGTGCCCTGCGTGGCCTCAGACCTCAGTCCCCTCCAGGGCAGCAGCACCTCACAGACCGTGGTGAGAACGAAGTGGGGACATATAGACTGCGTGCATGCAGCAGTGTCTGCCCAGGGTGGCCTCTGATGGCAGGAGCTGGGCGGGGACCCCTTTGCCAGCACTGACAGGCCGGCTGGGGCTGAGGCACACTCGCCCGCTCCCCCGGGCCTGGCACAGGTGAGCTGCCAGTAAGTGGCGGCAGGTGTCAAGTGGCAGCTGTCTGGTCTTAGAAAAGCCCAAGGGAGTGAGAATTGCTGTACAGAAATGAGGCCGTCTGAGTGACTGCATTTTATAAACTGTAAAGCCCCTAGTGAATGTGAGGCGGTGGTGGGCTTATCACTGAGTCAGTTGAAAGAATGCTCTTTGATACCCTTCCCACCTACTTTGTTCCAGGCCCTGTGCTGGGAACTAGGAATACAGCGGTGAATGGCACAGACCGTTCTCTGTCCTCGGAGGTCTCAAGTGAGACTAAAATTTTACAGGTTCTGGTGCAGTCACTAACTCCCGAATGCTATTCCCACTAATAACCAGCATTGTTCGGGTACCGGCGGTGGGCCAGCATCTTTATGCACTTCCCATGGCTTGGTGGGGAAGGTGCTTGGCAGGTACCCACCAGCCAAGCCCTGGCACCTCCCTGAAGCATCAGCGCCCCCGTCACTGGGATCAACAGGCAAGAGCCTGGGGACAGCGGCTCTCATCCTGCATCGCTCCCTCCTCAGGACAGGGCAGCCCTGGCTCACTCACTGGCAGTCCCAGGCCCAGCCTAGGACTTTCAAAATTCACTTGGAGATTGTTTGTTGAGGTCTGGGGAGATGGGCTCCCAGAGCTGGTGCTTTCAGAGGGGGCCAGGCTTCCGGGGGTGTTGCCCAGCCCTACAAGAGCCTAGGAAGCTGTGACTTGTTGTCAACTCTCTGGTCTATTCTGGCTTCTCCTCCTGGTGCCTTTCTCTTCAGAAGAACCTGAGAATTCTCCATAAATTCAAACGTACTTTTCCTCTCCAGGACAATGGCAGTGGGAACCTTACTGTTTATTTGTAAGATGAGAACTCTAGTCCCAGAAAAGCAGGACCTGAAAGCTGCATATCTTTCAGCCAAGCTGGACAAAAGTAAGTGGAGTTGTTTATCCAGAAAGTCTCCAAGAGCATCATTCAGAACTGAGCTACACCCACAGTTGTGATCACAATCAAACTTCAATAAACATGGGAGGGAAAAAGTGAACAGGAATGAAAGTTAACAGAAGCCACAAACTAGAGAATCAGGCTACCAAGACAAAGACAATGGAATCATCAGATATTGAATATAAAATAAATACCAAGAAAAATTAATGAAAAGATACGCAACACCTCAACGCCCTGTACCATTATTGCACAAACTGCAGAACACCAGAGACAGCAAGAAGACTCTAAAAGCATCCATATACCTAAGACAGATTCCACAGCAGCAATGAAGCTGGAGCAAAATGGAATACTATGGAAAGATGTAGAACACCGTGGGAAAATACCTTCTAAGGAAATAATTGTCAGGGGGGAAATAAGGACAGTTTTCTGACAAACTGACTGCTGCCATCTGACCTTTCCTAAAGAAACTACTAACAGTTGTATTGCAGGAAGAAAGAAAGTGATCCCAGAAGAATATCTGAGATGCAAGAATATCTTCATTTCTTAAGGTGATCTTAAACTTGACTGAAAAAGCACAGTCTATAAAAGAAAAGATTAACATATTCAATTACTTTAAAATCAAGAACTCAGTTCACTAAAAGACATCATAAAATGTGAGACATAAATTGGTGCAGCCACTATGGAAAACAATATGGAGGTTCTTCAAATAATTAAAAATAGAACTACTATATGATCCAGCAATTCCACTCCTGGGTGTTTATCCAAAGAAAGCAAAAACACTAATCAAGAAGATATATGCACCTCAGTGTTCATAGCAGTGCTATTTATAGCAGCCAAGATATGGAAGCAACCTGAATGTCCATCAACAGATGAATGGATAAAGAAGATGTGGTATATACACACAATGGAATATTAGTCAGCCATAAAAAGGAATAAAATATTGTCATCTGTGACAACATGGGTGGACCTGGAGGGTATTATTCTTAGTGAAATAAGGCAGAGAAAGACAAATACTGTATGATTTCATTTATATGTGGAATCTAAAAAATAAAACAAATGAACAAGTATAACAAAACAGAAAAAAATGTGAGAGACATATGCTGGCAGAATATATCTGCCATATTTATAATAGTTAATGAGATCCACACTATTAGGAAGAATTCCTATGAATCAATTAAAAAAAGACACACCTGTAAGAAATATGTAACCAATTAAAAAACAACAATAAAAAATTTCACAGAAGAAGAAATACATGAAACATGAAAATAGAATCAATATTATTAGTAATCATAAAGATTAAAATCTAATGAGACACATAGAAAATCCCAAGGAACCTACCAAATAACATCCTCCCCCTCAAAAACCAAAACCCTCCTTAAAGTAATACGTGAGTTTAGCAAGTTGCAGGATACAATATTGACAAATAAAAAGTCAATCATATTTCTATCTGCTAGCAAGGAAAAACTGGGAAATGGAAATTTTAAAAAACAACACTATTTACAATAGCTCCCCCAAAATAAAATACTTACGTGTAACTGTAAGAAAATGTGTACAGTATCTGTATGCTAAAAACTACAAAACGTTGATAAAAGAAGTCAAAGAACATCTCAGTCATTGGAGAGGCATACCATGTTCATGGACTGGAAGACTCATCATAGTAAAGATTTCAAGTCTCCCCAAATTGATCTATAGATTTAACACAATCGAAATCCCATCAGATACATATTGTAGATATTGACAACCTGATTTTAAAATTTATGTGAGTGACTTCCCTGGTGGTGCAGTGGTTAAGAATCCACCTGCCAATGCAGGGGACACAGCTTCTAACCCTGGTCCAGGAAGATCCCACTTGCCGTGGAGCAACTAAGCCCACAAGCCACAACCACTGAGCCCGCATGCCACAACTAATGGAGCCCGCATACCTAGAGCTCATGTTCCGCAACAAGAGAAGCCACGGCAAAGAGAAGCCCACGCACCGCAACGAAGAGTAGCCCCCACTCGCCACAACTAGAGAAAGCCCGTGAGCAGCAAAGAAGACCCAACACAGCCAAAAAGTAAAATAAAAAAATTGTTTTAAGTAAAAAAAATTTTAAATAAAATTTGTGTGGAAAGGCAATAGAACTAGGGAAGGGGATGAGCTTTCTCCTGAGATGGACAGAAATGTGAGTCACCTGCACTGACAACTATTTTGACTGCTGTAACTTTAGAGAAAAATTTTTTTAAATCTAGTAGTGTGAATCCTCCAAACCACAAACCCAAGAGACATCCTTGGCTCCCTGTTTCCCATCACTCCGAATCTCCAGTGGTCTCATAGTCCAACGAATTCTTCTTTTTCAGAATTACTGTATTACTTAATAAAAGATATACTCCTATGTACCTTCTATGAAGTGAAAGAAATAGAACATTATCATTATCTTTGGAGGCTACTGTACGCTCGTTCCCAATCCCATAACTCTCTTCTTCAGAAGGATCATTCTCAGGAGGTGCTGATGAGGGTTTTGAAGGAATTGGGGAATGGCAATGAGTTCAGATTTTGTACCTGTTAGACTTGAAAAGCTTGAGGGGGAGGGCCAGGAGTGGGGTGAGGCAAGTGGGGTGCCTAGGGTGCAAATTGTAATGAGGCACTTGCTCTCAGGGGTCATACAAGTGCAGAGAGATGTCCAAGTAGAGACACCAAGCGGGCATGCAGGGCTGAAGGCTGCAGAGAGACAAATGCCCTGCACTGGGTTCCTGGGATCGCCAGCCCGTGTGGTGCTTAAAAGCACAGATGTAACAAGGGGGAACCCAGGAGACTCGCCAGGACATTCTAAGGAGGGTCAGGAAGGAGAGGAGACAAACCAAGAACAAAATTCCTTGGTGTTCATGTGCCTGTAAACCCTTGTCCTCCAGGCCTCTAACTGAATGTGCTGTCTGGTGGACATTTAGTTCCTCCCTGGGCTCACCGACATGGCTGCAAGCCCAGCCTCAAAGCAAACAAATGCAGAGCCCAAGGCAACAGCAAAAATTTTGGCTTTTCCGCCAAAGGGATAATAAGTGGCTAGACAGAGTTGAGAGGTGATTTAAATGGAACTGTATTGCCCAACTGGTAACTGACTCCAGGGCGTCAGATACTATACCCAGGAGGCTCCAAACCAAACGTCCACAGGGCCAGGCAGGGACTGTCGGTGGATGAAGGGAGCCAGAAGGAGAATAGTATTCCACAGTGCAAGTGAGCAACCGGGAATGTGCCACACAATGGCACAGGGATTGGAAAGGTTGGGGATGTGATCCACTGAGAACTCCAGGTCCTTTTTAAAGAGCCAGTCCCAACTGGTTTCAGGCTACTCTGGCCTGGGAAATGGGTTCACTGTGGCCAGAACTATGGATTTCTCAAGAAAATGTCTGAAATCTGAATTTTTCGTGTGAAATATCCCGTTTTAAATGTTGGCAACTTATGAAGAAATGTTTCAAAAACTCTATATGCCAACACTGTTTGGGCCAAGAAGACACATCCACAGCCCAACTTTAGCCAAGTCCTTCCATTGGAAACTTCTGTGTTAACCAGGTGTATTTCCTAACAAAATTTACTCTGACTCAGGGGCCAGCCTTCCTTCCCCATTTCCCTCTTGAATCCCACCTAACTCCACCTGAAGAGCGTTTAACCAGAGCCAGAGGAGGAGAGAGGTGACCTGCAAAGGGAAACGTGCCCCACACCAGCCAATAAAGCCCCTTCTTCTGTGGTTTTCTCTTACAGATATTTGGGTGCTGGGTCTGGATCCTGGTGGCCGCCACCCAGGTAGCAAGCCCACTGCTACAAGGATGGGTGATGTACGTCTCGCTCACCTCATTCCTCATCTCCCTGATGTTCCTCTTGTCTTATGTGTTCGGATTTTACAAAAGATTCGAGTCCTGGAAAATCCTGGTAAGAACAAGTGAGAGCGACCCAGGCTCTCAGGCTCCTCCCAGGCCAACGTCCTAGGTGTGGTGAGGACGACAGGCCTTCTGGGCGGGAAGGAGAACCAGAGACCTTTCCTAGCCTGGGCCCCTAGGGCAGCGGTCCCCAACCTTTTTGGCACCAGGGACCGGTTTTATGGAAGTCAATTTTTCCACGGACCGGGGTGGGGGTGGGCGGGTGCTTCAGGCGGTGATACGAGCAATGGTTCAGGCGGTAATGGGAGAGATGGGGAGTGGTGGGGAGCAATGGGGAGCGGCGGGGAGCAATCTGGAGCGGCAGATGAATCTTTGCTCACTCCCCCCGCCCCTCACCTCCTGCTGTGAGGCCCGGTTCCTAACAGGGGCTGGGGACCCCTGCCCTAGGGAACCCCGACTTTTTGTTTGAATGTGTTTACTATTAGGTCGGAATGAAAGCTTCCCTCTGCCAGAGTCCATCCTTCACTGTATTCCCCCCATTGCCTCCCTCATTAGGGAATATCCATGGCCTGTCTGCTCCTGCAGCAAGTGCATCTGGAAGCGTTTTCCCTCTAGATTTAATTTATGGTCAAATCATTGGAGCAGCATTGAAGGAAAGGCTATAGAAAAAGACTCACCCCAATCTCAAGACCCTACCACAATCACCTATCACAATTCATTCTTCCATATTCCCGGCAAATTTTATGCGAAATGTATAAATCGCACTGAACCAATAATCTTGGATGTAGAGTCTTTCGTTTAATGTTATGTTGTTAAATTTTTTTCATCCCATCATCTCGATAACCACTGAAATTTTTTCTATATTGAACAAGTCAAAACATATACAAAAAGTAGGGAGGGTTATTTTATGGACCTCACGTAACCATAACCCAGATTCCAGAATTTTCAAGATTTTATCACAGTTGCTTCACCTAGCCTTTATTTTTCCCCCTGAAGAATTTTAAAGCAAACCCCAAACATCATGTCATTCCATTCCAGACACGTCAGTATACCTCCAAAAAATACACAAATTTTCTTATATTATCACACTTACATAAAGTTAACAATAATTCCTCGGTATCATCAAAGACGCAGGTCACATTCAGGTTTCCCCCATTGTAACTGAAACATCTTTTTGCAGTTAGCCTGTTTGAATCGGGGTCCTCACCACGCCCACTCGCACTTGGTAGTGATGGTTCTTGGGTACCTTTAATCTAGAATGATTCTCCCTGACGGAGACTTGCTGAAGAAACTGGGTGGTCAGGTGTCCTGTAGAAGGTCCCACATTTTGGGTTTGTTTGCTTCTTCCTGGTGTGATTTGATTTGCTCGTCTAGTCCCTGAATTTTCTGTAAGCTGGAAGTTAGCATCTAAAGGCTAAACTGAAGATGGGTTAAACCTTTCTGGCAAGAACGCTTCATAAGTGGCTTCAAGTCACATCACACACAGTGACTGGTGGTCCCTCTGTGACAACCATACCCCATCAACTTTTTCTTAATGCTTTCTTTCATCTACTGATGAATATTCTTTAGGGGCTGCAAGATGCCGATTTACCTATTATGACATTTCTCCCAGAATTGATAACTATGACATCCTAGTGGTATTGAAAACTCTGCTGAGAGTTTAGCATAGAGGTTCAAAAATTGAAATCTAGAGTCAGATTAGCCTGACTCTGCCATTTGTCAGCTAAGCCTCAGTTTTCTCATCTGTAAAGTGGAGATGTTAATAGTAGCAGCCTTATGAAATTAGCTGTGAAGATGAAATGACACATGTGTATATTGTTAGGACAGCACACAGCAGGTCTTCATAACACTAATGGTTAGGAGCATAGGCTTGGTGTTAACGTGGCCTGGGCTCAAATCCTGGCTCAGCTTTTATTCACTGACTTTAACCTTGAACTTCTCTTTCCTCAGAATGGCACGAACGATAAATGGTACCGACCTCATAGTTGACAAGGTTAAATGAGATAAATGGGGAAAAGGCTTAGCCTAGATCTTGGCTGGGAAGAAGCACTCAATAAATGGATGTCCATACTGGTATTATTATTGCAGTATATTAATCCACTATTGTTCACCACATAGAAATTTCATTAGAAACACTGCAAAAGAAAAAAGCAGGAGTTTCAGGAGCAAGCTAGTCTCTTTTGCCCCCTCTTCCCAGCTACGTAGTCAAAGAGGAAAGAGTTACCTGCTCGCGTGTCCGCGTGACTGTGGCCACGGCCTCTGCTCCATCTTTCCAGGACAGCCTGTACCACGGGACCACTGGCATCCTGTACATGAGTGCCGCCGTCTTACAAGTACATGCCACGATCGTGTCTGAGACCCAGGACCTGAAAAACTACTACATAAACACCGCAGCCTCGGTGAGTGCTGGACAAGAACATGACAGCTGCCACCATGGAGGGAAATGCATGAGGCTTAATTCTGTCTCCCGCAGAACAGATGTTCCTGAGCCCTCAGGCAGAAGGAGCCTTGCAGGATAGGAGGAGGGGTGTGTGTGTGTGTGTGTCTGTGTCTGTGTGTGCACGCACACACATGCGCACGCAATCAGGTGTGCCCAAGCTCGCAGGGTACCAAGCCCAAGTTCAGGTGTCATCTCTCGTCTTTGGTTTTCTTGCCCCCTTACACCCACTACGCTACCCTCAGAATATGCTTTTCCAAAACGTAAATTTTCCAAAATACACATCTCTTATTGAAAATTCCTCAGTGACTCCCATGGCTGCTGGAACGGAGCCAGAATTCCTCAGCATGGCTCAAGTTCCCGTGTCCTTTTATTTCAATGACAGACGTGCACAGGGTAACATATTGGCTGATGGAATCCGAGGCAAGGTGGTCCAGGCGGGTCATGGGACGAGCAGGACCCCTGGACTTTAGGTCCACTGGGACCGGAGACTCTAGGCCAGCAGGGCCCGGCCTTTCCAGTCCCCGCGAGGCAGCCTCCTTCCTCTCTTGGTGGGATGGCGCCCTCACGTGGCAGCTGGCTCACAGCTGGGGAATTTCACCTCTGGAGCCGCCTAACCTTCCTTACACCTTCCCAGGAAGGTCTAATACCCAGGCTGGGTCCCAGTCCACCCCCACCTGTCGCTGTGACCGGAAAGGTCCTGTGTCAGTCGGGGACTCCCACAGGGATCAGGCAGCAGGAGGAAGGGGTGTGGCGCAGGGTGCTGACCCCACTGTAAGAAGGATGAGGTGACCCACGAGGTGACCCACGAGGGAGGCCTCAGGGGACTTCGGCTGCCTTTCCGGCCTGTCTGCTTCCTCCCGTTCCTGGCCCGGCACCACCGCACCCCGCAGCCCGGCTGCTCGCCCTTGCTCTGCTGTTCCAGCCACATCAGTCTCCTTGCTGCCCATGGACCCGCTCTCGCCTTGGCCTCCTTCTGGGTGAGGCCGTTCCCCTCCCTGTCCCCTTCCTGCTTTGTTTTCTCCTGCGCGCTTAGCCCCACCTTCCATACCACTCTACTGGTTTATCTTGCTGATTTTCCGCTTCTGCCACTAAAATGTAAGCTCTAGGAGGACAGGAATTTCTGAATTTTGTTCAGCATTATTGCCACAGTTGCTCTTGAAGCACAACAGGTGCTTGCAAGATATTTGTTGGATGAATGAATGAATGGAACAGAGTGTGATTGGACGGGGGTTGAAGTGAGGCTGGAGTCGTCTGCTGGGCCAGGACATCTTCAGGCAGTGCAGTTGGGTGACTCTGGGGATGGCTTTGGACGTGGCGGTTGGGGAGGGACCCCTGGGGAGGGAGGGGTGGGAGGGATCACAGGTTTGTGGCTTGGGTAGCTGGATGAGATGAGGGTCCTGGGGCCGACTGAGCTTGTGAGGAAATCCCAGGAGTTCAGTTTGGACCACAGAGAGGTCGTGGGGCCTCTGAGGCTCTGAGGGGCTGAGAGGTGGGTGCGCAGATATGATTTCTGGACCGGTGAGTGAAACTTGTCATCAGAGCACAGACAGTGGCTGAAGGTGGGTGAGGGGAGAGTGCCCAGAACCAGACAGCAAGAGAGAGAGACACACAGAGAGAGAGAAGAGGGGGACAGTGTCCAGGGCAGGGATGGAGATGGACCCACTTTATGGCCAGGTAGAGGAGCACACGTCTGCAGATGAGAGGGACGCTGCACAGTGGAACATGGGGATGGAGTGTTTCAAGGAGGATGGAGAGGCTGGCCAGTGGTTGCCGCCCTTAAGCCAGGCAGGGCTGGGGCAGGGAGGGGATGAGGCAGGGTCAGAACAAGGGCCCCCCCGGAAGCTAAGGGCCTCTGTGGGCTGGGAGCGGGCATCCCTAAGGAAGTAACTCCCCGGACTCTTCCAGTTATTTGCCTTCATCACCTCCCTGCTCTACATCCTCCACGCCTTCAGCATCTATTACCACTGAAGGAGCAGGGAGCTGGGCCGGCATGGGAAATGCTGTTTTGAAGCCTGGAGTATCAGCTCCCCAAAGAGGTTTTCAACATGTGCCATCTGCGTGATAAACAGAAGCTCAACGATGACATCACTGGATCAACAGACCATCTTTTCAGAACGAGTGATGAAATCGCATGCTGGGCAGATCTGTTCGGACATTTTAATTCATTGTGATGAATATGAAAAAGCTGGGAGGAGGGCTTTGTTGTTTTGTTTTGTTTCGTTTTGTTTTGTTTTGCCTGGGAAAGTAACTGTCTCTTGGAATTATCTGACAATGAACCTCGCTCTTCTAGAAAACTAACATCTGTAAGCCCTCACTACTGAAAATTCCAGGTCTACCATCATCAGGCCTGTTTGGGGATGCTGCCTCAGCAACGAGATTCCCCACAGCAGGTCTATGGGAACCTTCATAATTTTCTTAAAATCGAAATGGTGCTGTCAACGCTTTCAGATCTGAAGACCCATAGACCTTGTTCCTGTCCCGTGGTCTTGTCTCTGCTTCTCAGCAGTGGTCCAAACCCACTGCCCCCTCCCACGCTGCCCGACCCCCATTCACATGCCCTCCCCTTTCCTCCCCAGCTTTGGGAGCCAAGGGAAATCTGTGTAAAATCAGCTTTGAGGGTAGATTTGTGGGGGAAATAAGCGATTGGTTCTAGAAAATTTTTACACAGCAAGAGCTGGGGGAGGGAAAGAGGGGTCAGGGAGGGAAGGGTGTAACCTGCTTCTCCGTAACTGTAAGTCAGGCCGCTCTGTTCAGAGAACTGCAGGGCTGCAGGACACCTGGGTCAGGCCTCCGGACCCCACCCCCTAAGGACTGGGAGTCACCCTGTCCCTCAGAAAAGACCATCAAGGAAGCCGGCAGGACGTTACATGCCAGGATTCTCCTCTGGGCTCCTGTCACACGTGGGACACCGATGAGGCCGGAAAGGACCCATCCCAGGGTTCCTACTGTTTCCCATGCATCCCTGAGTGGTCCAGCTGGGAGGGGCCTGGAACCACCCAGCCAGCCTCCTGCAGTGAAGGGCTCCCAGGGGCCAGGACATGCAAATGCGTTTGCACTTCGGGGCCATTCTCAAAGAAGAGGCACAGAGAAGTGTACAATCGAGGTGCTGGATTCCCAAGTAAATGTTGTTCAAAAGTAGGCGTGCCATCTGGCGTTTCTGTCCCTGTGCTGGGGTTCCAGCTGCTTGGCCTCAATCTCTAAAGTTGAGTCAGGGCTCAGCCCCTTAACTGCGTGGACCCGATGCCATTTTGAAATGAAATAAATTATTATGTGCAAGGGACTTGTCTTAGCCTATTCTAGGGCTTACAGTTTTGTATTGACTCTTTTCTGCTCCTGAAGGGGAGGGGGAGGCAGGAGGGGAAGTCACCGGAGAGAAAACTCTGGCTTCATTCCCTGCTCACTTCCTAATCGCCCCCATAGCTTGAAAAGCCACTGTTCATCTCTCACGTTCTTGCCTGGTGGCTATCTGAGATGGTCACTGTTAAGTATTTACTGAGTAACCACGTCCAAGTAGAAGTCATTTGTACAGTCAAAAGCCTGGAGTTGGTCGGTTTCGTGGTGTCCGCACTGGAACGGGCCACCATGTGACAGGTCCCGACAGCAATTACACAGAAAGCACCCCGTGGAGGGTTTTCCGGCCCAGCCCACCCGGCCCTGCTACTAGGGCAGCTACACAGGGACCCTGAGACTGTCTCCAGGGCTCCGGTTTGTAGTGTCATTTCCACTTCAGTAAGAATAGTTTGGGTGCAAGTTCCAGAAACCAAACTCAGCTTAAGCAAAGTCAGGGATGCCCTGGCCAGGGCTGGGGGGTGCAGAGGCCTGGGGGGGCAGGAGAAGACCCCTTACCCAGCCCTCTCCCTCATGTCCCTGCTCTCCTTCATGGGGTGCTGTCCTGTCCTCCCATCACATTGCAAGGCCCCCCACCCACTGGGCACACACTGTGGACCCAGCCCTGAGCCCTGGCACCCCCTAGTTCACCTGCAGCTGCTGCAGCTCCCGGCCACCTTCCTTCCTTCAGGACGGCTGTCCTCTCTCTCTAGGACTCTCCCCAGCTCTCATCTTCTGTGGGGAAGACCCGAGGCAGCCTCCCAGACTCCTCAGAGCCCCCAGCAGAGGGACGCACCCCCTGGGCCGAGCCAGGCTGGGCTTTGCTGGGTGGCCCTCACCCAGCAGGACCCAGGGAGCCCCTGCTTTCCCATGGGGCTCCCTGGATCCTGCACCGACATCCTTGCCTCAGGGTGGGCTTCAGGGGAGCTCAGGCTAAGACACCCTGATCTCAGGTGGCCTCAGCCTGCAGCGGCTTAAAGCAGGGTTTCGGTTCCCCAGCCAGAGCTTGAAGTCAGGCCGAGGCGACGAGAACGCTGAATCCTAGCCTCGAGGCCACGATGGCCAGTGACAAGGCCCCTGGCCCTTTGGCTTTGCAGAAATGAATTCCCACAAAGAGAGAAAGTAGCAAAACAAGTAAAGTGTTTATTAGGAAGAAGAAGAGTACGTGTGGATAGACACAGGGGTGGACTCAGAGAGAGAGAGTTGCACCCTCTGGGTAGTTTGATTCACTTACATGGGGCATTTGTTCCAGGTTTCCTTTGGCCAATTATCTTGCTTTGCCTGGTTCTGTGTCCGTATTTGGTTCATCTCAGGGTCCTCCCATGTGTGCGCATGCATCTCTTAGCCAAGATGGATTCTAGCAAAGAGGAGTATAGCTAGGTTGACATCACTCCCTTTGGGACCTCCTGAGCACGTATAGTTGGGAAGGTCTCCTTGACCTCAAGAACAAGGAATATGTGGTCTCTATCTCTTATCTGGGCGGGGCTCAGCGCCTCTCTCACTCCTGCCATTTTGGAGCTCAGCCTGGGGCCCATCTAGCTCCTGCCTCAATGCCACAACCTTGTCCTGAGCCTCAAGCCAGTGCTGGGCACTGGGGCCACGGGCACTGGGAGGCAGGGTCCTGCCAGCTGCACCCTGTGGCCCTGGCTGAACAAGTCGGTAGCAGGTTTGACTGGCAGCTTTGTCCAGACAGCCGAAGTTCTGCTTTGACCAATAACTGGGCTGTGATCTTTAAATGAGATAAGAAAAAAAAAGCCATTAAAATTTGAAAAATAAACAACATACTTAGCTCTGGGGTCTACCTCAGCAGGAATGGAAAATCCCTAGTTGACAGGGTGTTACCCTCACCCTCCTGCCCCCTCCTGCCCCCAAATCTGTCACTGACCTTCCCGTTAGGGATTTGCCGGGGAGCACATCTGGACGTTGACCATGGAGGACCTCAGGCAGCCCTTGATCAACGTGATGGGCAGTGGGGGAGCAGTGCCGACGTCCCCCGACATCTGCAGAGCTCACACCGCACGTTCTGCTGCTAGATTCTCCCGGGTGGGACCCGGTGCATCCTGGGACACCAGAAGATGACGAATCTTATTCCCAGCACTCCTGTCCCTCGGTCAACCATCTCCAAGGTCGCATATCCCTGCCTCTGTCCTAGCCTGGTCATTACACAGCAGCTGGCCCATCACCTCTCAGCGACTCGTGGGCCGGGGGGTGGAGACTGTGGGTGACATTTCCATGGTGACGCTGGACCTCCCCTGCACAGAGACTTTACCCCCAGGAACTTGTACCGACCTACTCAGCCTGACTGTGTTGGGATTGATCTCTGCATACAAATCTGGAACGGGCGTGTAAGACCCTCTATCTCCTCTGTGTGTGTGTCTTATCAGAGAAGAAATGTTAGAGGTAGTGATTAAGCACCTGGGGTGAGTCAAGACCCCACCTATGGAGGTTCCTTAAAAAACTACAAATAGAACTACCATATGACCCAGCAATCCCAGTACTGGGCATATACCCTAAGAAAACCATAATTCAAAAAGAGTCATGTACCAAAATGTTCAATGCAGCTCTATTTACAATAGCCAGGAGATGGAAACAACCTAAGTGTCCATCATCGGATGAATGGATAAAGAAGATGTGGCACATATATACAATGGAATATTACTCAGCCATAAAAAGAAATGAAATTGAGCTATTTGTAATGAGGTGGATGGACCTAGAGTCTGTCATACAGAGTGAAGTAAGTCAGAAAGAGAAAGACAAATACTATATGCTAACACATATATATGGAATTTAAGAAAAAAAAATGTCATGAAGAACCTAGGGGTAAGACAGGAATAAAGACACAGACCTACTAGAGAATGGACTTGAGGATATGGGGAGGGGGAAGGGTGAGCTGTGACAAAGCGAGAGAGTGGCATGGACATATATACACTACCAAACGTAAGGTAGATAGCTAGTGGGAAGCAGCCGCATAGCACAGGGAAATCAGCTGGGTGCTTTGTGACCGCCTGGAGGGGTGGGATAGGGAGGGTGGGAGGGAGGGAGACGCAAGAGGGAAGAGATATGGGAACATATGTATATGTATAGCTGATTCACTTTGTTATAAAGCAGAAACTAACACACCATTGTAAAGCAATTATACTCCAATAAAGATGTAAAAAAAATACAGTATATTGATGGAAGTATATCAATAATCATTGTGAATGTTCATGGTTTAAATGCACCAAATAAAAGGCAGGGATTGTGGGAGTAGATCAGAAAACAAGACCCAAATATACATTGTCTACTTTAAAAAAAAAAAGACCTCACCTAGACACCTCTTTTATTCTAACTTATCCACCAGGGCGTCCAGGAAGCACACTGGTTTCTGCCCACTTTAAAGTGTCCCATTGGCCCCAGTCCCGCACTTACACCCTTGCTCCAGGGCCTTTGGCTGCATCTCCTGCAGGGTTCAAGCGAGGAGGGTCATCTCTGGCCCATCCTTCCCCTCCCAGCCCCGCCCCCCAGGCCTCTGCACCAGCCCCCCTCCCTGTATCAGCCCCCTCAGAAGCGGTGCATCCTTACCTTACAGAGAGGAAGACATCTGGATCTCACACCCAGAGCGCCGCAGTATCAAGTCATAGCTCCAAGCCCCAGGGTTTCTCCAAGTTTTCTTCCTTGTCTTGACCCTTCCCTGTAAGGAGACGTTCTCAAAGCACAGGAAACAGAAAAATATGGCCCAGTTTATCAAAACATGCAGAACGTCATCCCAGGAAGGTTGTGCATCCCTGAATCACACTTTCTTCTCACTTTCACGTTAGCGCCGCGTTGTTAAGTTAAGCGCGTGTGACAGTCAGGGTTCCCTCACCCATGTCTGGCTCCCCCTTTGCTGGCAGGATCCAGCTATTGCTAACAGCAGCAATGTACCCAAGCTGCCTTGCAGCTGGGGCTCGATTCTGGCTACTGAGAGAGAAGCAGAGGTCTGCTCCAGTGGAGGGTGGGGTGCAAGACTGGGGAAACATTTTTCCCTCTGGATAAAAGGGTCAGACATCACTGGTTGTCTGAGATTGAGTTTCCCCGGGGACAGACTCTGAGACCGAAGCTGCGTGCATGCAGCTTCACCAGGGAGGGCTCTTGGGAGATGCACCTGGGACAGGTGGAGGACGCAGGACCAGGCAGAGGGAGGAGGTGGCCTGCAATGAGGTTGCAGCCGTGGCCTTGGGGGATGAGCTGGCCACCCTGCAGGGACGCCCTGCCTGAGTCCAGAGGGCAAAGCCTTTGTCTCCCACATCAGCCATCATTGGCGATCATTGGTATCAGGTCGTTTCCAGAGGGGAGGGGGGCGTGTCCATCGGTGTGAAGAGGTGGGCTGGGCAGTCACCACCATGCCCACTGCTCAGCCATGTCCCCTTCCTGCCGTGAACGAGAACACCATGGCCGGGCTACTGACAAGGAGAGGGCAAAGACATCGGCCCAGACACTGAAGACTGTTGGACAAACATAGCCACCTCTTTCCTCAGACTTTTTTCTCATTATGTGAGAAAGATGACTCCCTGTTTGTTTTTTTTGTCGTTGTTGTTTTTTGCGGTACGCGGGCCTCTCACTGTTGTGGCCTCTCCCGTTGTGGAGCACAGGCTCCGGACACGCTGGCTCAGTGGCCATGGCTCACGGGCCCAGCCGCTCCGCGGCATGTGGGATCTTCCCGGACCGGGGCACGAACCCGTGTCCCCTGCATCGGCAGGCGGACTCTCCACCACTGCACCACCAGGGAAGCCCGACTCCCCATTTGTTTAATTCACCGTGGTCTGCTGGCCGATACAGCGGCTGAACACACAGCTGCCGGAGACTTGTGTTCTTTCCTGCCTTCCCCTCCACCCCCAAAGCCTGGCTCCCCTCAGCGCCATCCCCAGACACTCTACGTCCTGAATGAATCTGAAATTTGTCTTCTCCGTACTACCTCCCAGGTCCTCATCACTG